CAATATAACAAAGAGTGAAAAATTGAAGGGGGTCTGAATACTTTCCGTACCCACTGTATATATATGTATGTACTTACATTTTACTTAAAGTATAAATTATATAAACGTAAACAAATACACAAGTACCAAAAAAATCTGACTGATCATAAAATTCTGAAATGCATACATAAACCCATTATGCACACACATACACTGTTCTATACATCAAATAATCCAACAAATCTAAGTAAATATAGGTGATGAAGTAAAAGTGAGACAGATAAATAATCCAAAAATGAGGTCATTCCTACATTTTTTTTTCTGGTAATCTCAGTAAGTTAATGTGGTTCTCATGACTCGCGCGTGTGAGTGTGTGTACTTGTACAATGTATGTCTTCACAAAGATAGTTATCGTACCCACTGTATATATATGTATGTACTTACATTTTACTTAAAGTATAAATTATATAAACGTAAACAAATACACAAGTACCAAAAAAATCTGACTGATCATAAAATTCTGAAATGCATACATAAACCCATTATGCACACACATACACTGTTCTATACATCAAATAATCCAACAAATCTAAGTAAATATAGGTGATGAAGTAAAAGTGAGACAGATAAATAATCCAAAAATGAGGTCATTCCTACATTTTTTTTTTTCTAGTAATCTCAGTAAGTTAATGTGGTTCTCATGACTCGCGCGTGTGAGTGTGTGTACTTGTACAATGTATGTCTTCACAAAGATAGTTATACAGAGTTGTGTGTGTGTGTGAGAGAGAGAGTGTGTGTGTATTGTGTGTGTGTGTCTGTGTGTGTGTGTGAGAGAGAGAGAGAGAGTGTGTGTGTGTGTGTGTGTGTGTGTGTGTGTGTGTGTGTGTGTGTGTGTGTGTGTGTGTGTGTGTGTGTGTGTGTGAGTGAGAGAGAGAGAGGTGGGAAGGCGGAGCAGGAACGTGGGGGAGGTCGGGTTTATTCTGGGCGTGTATCAGCTCAGGTTTGAATGGAGACGGAAATATGTGAGTTTCTGTGAAGAAAAGAAAAAAAAGAAAAACACGGACGCGAAGTAAAGCCCGCAGGCCACAGAACATTTCACATTCACTGCTCCAGAGCGATTAAACTACCAGAAGAGGAGTTTACTCATCTGCAAACTGTGAGTTTACGAAGAAAAGGGGGATTTTTTCTTCTTTTTTGTATCGTGTGGATTATTGTTCTGGTGAAGACAGATACAAAGAGGCGAGTGAAAGTGTCTGCTGCATGTATCATCAGCGGGATGCAGAGGGTATCATTATACTTCCGTTTCAAAACATTAATATCTCATTTGGATGGGTTTAACTAGGACGCTGTTATATTCAGTCTGGTGCTGCATGATAGGTTTAAAGTTAAACAGCTGGCCGTGAATCCATCGTGGACTATGCATTGAAATGCACGAGAAAGGAACCTCAAGGATCCGCTTTCATTGTTTTCTGTAAACTGCGCTGTTTTGCGGGAGCGGGTTTGTTTCACAGCTTCTTTAGGACTCTTCTTTGTGTTCAGAGATCCACTAATTCAGCCGTTTGGAAGAAAAGATACGGACGATTATAGCCCAAGACGTTTTAGCTGTTGAATCTTTTTTTGAAACCACAATTAGTAGTTTGAATTTGAAAAAAGTTTGTTTGTTTTTTTTGTTTGTTTGTTTGTTTGGATGAGTCTCAGTACAGTGATATATAGCGTAATGATTCATTTTAGTGAATCGATTCGCTTTAGTTAGCGCTTCGTCGGAGTCATCGTTCGAATTCCCTCCCAGAAGTCTTGCGTTTGATTTTGTACGTTTTTTGGGTTTACTTATGTTTAACTTTTTAAACCATGTTATTTTAACACGCGTGTATGTTTATGATCCCACCATACCACCTGCCTCGCAGTCGAGCGATTTACGAATGTGGAGCGAGTCGGTTCGTCTGAATGATCACATTGAATCGGCTCAATAGAATGATTCGTTGGCCAGTCGGGCATCGCTAATGATAATTATTCACTGGATGCTGTTAGACTTTAGTGATGGTTATTAGTCAATGGTCGTAATGTACAAAGATATATAAAAACATTCACACAATCAATACATGTAACGTTTGAGAAATATTTAGTTTTTTTTTGTTAATCGTTGGCGTTTCCTCGAAACAAAACGAATTGCATACATTTCCAATATGAGCTTAGTGATTTTCACATTTTGAGTGCATAATTGTTAAACAAACTCGGGTTTTTCATTACACGCACGTTTTAAAAGTGATTGGTTTCATTCTTTGTAATTCGCTCTCTAAAGCGTAGCGATACCTCAATAGCTTGCGCTAGTTAACGTTAATATTTTATGGTTTTTGTTGTAAACTTGTTTTTTTTTAATTTACGTGCGGAACGTAGACAAAAATCGACATATTTGTTTCTTGGTTTTGCTCGGTTACGTTGTATTTAGGTTACCGTGTCACGTCGAGTGTGGTCGCATGAAGGCCCGAAAGCCTCGGACTCTCGCAGGCGCTGGCGGCGGGGGTGTAGTGCATGTCACGC